GATCCCGGCTCCCATTGAACTTCAAGGTCTTTGCAAACCTTACTTTTTTGAGTCAAATGTCTTTTTTTTTTTTTTTATTCCTTGTGAAAATTTGCAATACAAGACCAAACTGAAGTAATTATGTAGGTGCAGTGGTTAGCGCTCGTTCCCAACGCGGCTAAAGAATGAATTACATTAGCAAGAAGCTATCGTTAGCTTGCATTTACGGTGGCTCTGAATGGTCAAACCGCTCTGACAAATGCAGAAACACAAGAATCTGACAGCACACACCGACGCACACTCACATGTACACACCAACAGTTAGGGTGATATGTAGACAGACATGTACATCTGTTCCTAAACATTCTATGATGGACGAGAGTTTCAGAGTTGGTGTGTAAAAGTGATGGACACAACGTGAGGTTGCATTTCTTTTTAAACGACAATTTCAGATACAAAATACAGCAAAGAGACATTTTTATTCCACATTAGGCAAAAAACAATCACGACCCAGAGCTCCAGTACAACGAGACATAATCTATTTAATTGAATTACTGTGTCACTAAATATGTTTTTAACTGTGTTGTCTGACATATTGCAGCAGGTGTAGTTTGACCATTACACCTGAAGTGACTCCAATGATTCTCTTCCCTCTATGACTGACGTCAGGAAAACTCACCAGATCTGGAAACAGTGCTGCCGGTTTTAGCCTGCCACCGGGCCTCAAAGAGGATTTAGCTAGTATCATTTAAGATTACCTGTGGTGTTTAGAGTCCTGCCAAGCTAACCGGTGACTGACGGGTCCATTCACCCTTGGCTGCATCCTCGCTGTACAATGGTCATCTTAAATTCATTCCCCTTCATCCCAGCTTATTGAAACATTGTGCCGTCACCTATTATGTTCTGCTATCCCACTCACACTGCGTTTTAAAGAGCTACACAGAGCAAGGACATAGTGACTTTCCCTGTGATTACCAGCGAGCTAAGCCACGCTGCAAGCCTCTTATTCCCCATGCAGCTGGATCAAGCAGTAAAAGTTACCCATAAAATCCCCACTGAGGGTTCAGAGTTCAGTTCCACTGATGAATAAAGAAGACTCGCCACAGCACCCGTCTCAATAATGTAACGGGCTGGAAAGACATATGGTTGTGAGTATTTCTCGTCATATTTTCAGGCACCGCAGTGTTAAATTGTGCGGAACAATTTGCTTCAAATGAAGCTGTTTGACTTTGACTAATGGAGCACTTTAGTCTAAAAATGGCAGCTAACATTATGAAGCAACCAGCGGCAAATCCATGCCACTTAGCTAAAATCAAGCTAGCTGGCTAACCTTAGTTTAGCTTAGGTTACAGTTTGCTAATTGGCTCCCTGTCCTTGCATCGCTATTGGCTCGTAGAAAACAAAGGTTAGTGAAACACCTTTGCTTTGTATTGTTAAATCATTCATTGTTGGCTAAAGTCAACTGGCTTGTAGAAATGAGTGGAGAGAGACATGACAGCTGGCAGTGAGCATAAACGTCACATCCTTAGATTTTCACATCCTTTACATAGAAATCTGTCCACAGTTATTAAAGGCAACAGAGAAGGTCTCAGTTTTTAAATTACCATTATTTTACGGTTAATACATGTAAATTGCTTCTCTTAGGTTCTTTTAAAAGTAATGTTTGAGGATGACAGTGCAATTAATGAGTCATGTCAATTTTATAAATGTATAAATTGCCTCCAGGGGCAAATGATAACTCTATCATAAGAAGATTAATCTGCAACTATTTTGATAATCAATCACTATTTTGTAGGTATAACATACCAAACATTTCATATGCTCAAATTAAGGGATTTGCCAGATTTTTTTTAAATTGATCTCTGGAGTTTAATCTGTTCATCATACAAAACAAGTTGAATAAGTCAAAAGGTCAACCAGCTCTGGGAAATTTCAATGGGATTTTGTTTCTGACAATTTATAGAATATTATGAGAATAGATTATTCTTTAAAACAGACTAAGCAATAAAAGAACAAATTGTCTGCAGCCTTTGTGCATAGAGCTGGAGGGCTCGCTTCGATAAACACTGGATTCATCACATCCACTCAGCAGTATTGTGACTGAACCACTGCATTGAGCCGCTTGTACTCAGTTAGACTTTGGCTAGTTCAACAAACGGCTGCAGGAATCTCTGGATGGGTTGTGTCTGCAGGATAGCTTCATGTTCTGCCCTGCATCATCCTTGTGGGGGCTCTGGTATGGACTTCAGTTTAAGAGGTGTATAGTCACCTTCTCTGTTGTATTTCCCTCTTTCATTCCTTTTTGAATATTTATTCAATTCAATTTATTTTATATAACCCAAAATCACACATTTGCTTCAGAGGGCTTTACAATCTGTACAACATACGACATCCTCTGTCCTCTGACCCTCACATCGGAACAGCAAAAACTCCCCCAAAACCCTTTAACAGAGCTACAACACATTCAATGCATATGACAGAAATGATTCATATAATGAGAGTAGTGAGGCCACAGAAGATGAGCTTGATAACTGACGCTCTGCTCCCATCCTACTTTTTAAGACTCTAGGAACCACAAGTAACCCTGAATTTAGGGAGCGCAGCTCTAGTAGGATAGTATTGTACTATAAGCTCCTTAAGATATGATGGTGTCTGACCAATTAGGGCTTTATAGGTGAGGAGAAGGATTTTAAATTCTATTCTAGATTGTACAGGGAGCCAGTGCAGAGAAGCTAATACAGGAGTAATATGATCTCTCTTCTTAGTTCTTGTTAGTACACGAGCTGCAGCATTCTGGATCAACTGGAGAGATCAAATCAAATGTTCTAGTCTCTGGAACAGGACGATCAATGGTGTTGAACGCAGCACTAAGGTCTAACAGGACAAGAACAGAGACTAGTCCTTTGTCTGATGCAATTAGGAGGTCATTAGTTATTTTCACCAGGGCTGTCTCTGCTATGATGCTTTCTAAATCCTGACTGAAAATAACTCCTCAAATAAACGATTGTTACGCAGAAAGTGACACAACTGATTCGCGACCTCAAGGATCTTAGAGAGGAAGGGAAGGTTAGAGATCGGTCCATAGTTAGCCAAGAGTGGGCTTCTTAAGAAGAGGTTTACTCACTGGTAAAACATCTTTAAGCAGCCTAGTCGGAATGGAGTCTAAGAAACAGGTCCAAGGTTCAGACGTAGAAATTGTTGAAGTCAGTTTGTGAAGGTCGATGGGAGAGAAGAAGGTTCTACCTGTTGGTAAGCTGCCTGTGTTTAAGGATGCTGGTTGAGTGCAGGAGATTATTCATTTTATCTCTAATAGTCAGTTAGAACCTTTGTTTTATTCTTTGTCTTATTTGCTAAGGCTGAGTTTTATTATGTGTTGGACTGGATCTACTGCAGCTGCTTACTCCTTTTCTCTGAGACAGCAGCCTGAAGGTCATACTATGTTGACCTACAGTATTATTGAGGAGAGAACAGGGTGAGTGGCTCTTCCTCCTGTTTCATTTGGATATTCTTTTCTTCCCTAAAATAAATCAAAATGTTTCTTTAGTGTGTACAACACTCTGCCTCCCAGTTATGAACCTGTGTGAATGCGTTTATGCTTTCAATCCTATGACGCAGGAAGAGACGCTCACGTAGATCATTTTCTGGATGTAACATCCCTCGCTCTTCACACTTGGACTTGACTGCAGCGTGGGGCTATCTTAGCCCCGAGCACCGGCTGTCAGTTCATTCAAAACATTTGCTCAGTGCGTTGCCGCGTCGGTTGCCGGGCCCCGGCAGCAAAGAGACAAACCGGTTCACAGTTTGGATCTAGAATGTTGTCTCTGACGGCGTCGCGGCTGCTGCGTGTGACGACTGTGTGACTTCTGATGCGGTCGGTAAAGTGGAGAGGAAGCAGAGAAGAGGGCGTGCTTCTCAAAATGACCATTGACTGAAATATAGGTGGTTTGGTTGAAAGAGTAAATACCTGTAGAACCTAAGCTCATGGGGCAGGAGCTCAAAACAAGATCCAACTGTGTTCTGTTAAAGTGTATTATCCATTCTTCTCCAAGCGTCATGAGTACTCGAGTGTACATCTACGATGACAATGAGACAGACGATTACTGTCACATACGACTGTCTTGAAATACAAATTTTGTTTTAGTTAAAAACATAATTATACTTCCCATGAATATAAATGACATATAATCTTTATCACAAAGTTTTTTGCTCTTTCATTGGAAAAAGAATAAAATGTTCTTGTCCTTCAAAAGGTATAAATATGGCGACTATTCACCACAGCAGGGGTGCTCATCAGTGTTCTTCTCTTTAGGAGAGTGTGTGGCTGCACATGCCAAGAAGAAATGATCTGTCATTTTAGAACCAATTGAAGGACTCCTTCCATTTTAGTGAGAGGGTTAGTAGATCCCAAATACATAATCATAAGACTTGTTGCTAAGTACTCATTCATTTGCCAGACAGGCTCAATTTTAAGTGTGTGTGTGTGTGTGTGTGTGTGTGTGTGTGTGTGTGTGTGTGTGTGTGTGTGTGTGTGTGTGTGTATATTAGCTCAGTTACATAGAGTGAGTCCATTTTCCTATGAATTATTAATGCATATTATGAGAAGTCCTCATCGTGATCTGGATTATTAAAACGTAGATGCACACAAGAGCAAAGCAGAGACTCCAAAGTGGTTTTGGGGCATTTAGTCTCTCCACTGTTTTACGAATGGAAAAATCCTTTCACATCCATAATGGTTTGGAATTGTTGGCTCGCAACGTGATTTATTGTTTTTAGGTGTTATCATGGCAACATCCGACATGCTTTCTGTGCAGAAGCAGAAGGTTGGTAGTGTGAAACAAAGTGAAACAAAGAAAGGACCTGAACACGAGACCATGAAATAATGGTTGGTCTTTGAGAAAGCTGGTTTTTGCAAATACACTTGACATTGGAAACGTGGAGTATTTCTTTGCCGTCCTACACTCATATATGTTAGACTGATACTTCATTTATTGTAAAGTAACAACTGTGCTGTGTTTCCACAGGTGATGGCGTCCCAAAGGAAAACAGTCCCTTCATCAACAACACAGACAACGACAAAGGCAACAACTACGATGGCACCAACATGGCCCTTTTTGAGGTAATCGCCTCATCATCAGCTGGATGTAGCCCTTGATCTCTGCGCAAAGGGGGGGTGCTAAGAGACATGACAGTAGCTGTGTTTCCATTCACATATTTTCATTCGCATATTGAAGTTTCACATCAAGTCTTCTTCAATACAGCATGATGTTCATTAAGTAAATTATGTTCCTTTTTAGAGTCAAATAGACCATAAAGAGGAGTATGATTTAGGGTGGGGCTAGCTTGTGACTGACAGGTCTCTGCCACTACCAGAGCCGTATACGGCGTCTCTACGTCACTCCTCTGTAGTTCAAATATGGTCACTGGTTGCAAAAAGCCAAGATGGCGACGACCAAAACGTCAAACTCAAGGCTTCAAAACCGCAGTTCACAAACCAATGGGTGACGACAAGACGACTACGTCCACTTCCTCCACACAGTCTATGCCCATGACGTGTGAATGCTGGTCTTCATCTCTTGACAACATGAAACATGACCAATAGAAGCTGACATAAAAGAGCAATTAAAAGCTGCTCAATTCAAACAAATCACTGAAGACCTCTTTCCATTTCTTTCTGGTAGATGAGTTAAAAATAGCCGACTTATTTAGTTTACTGGCAGATTACAGCCATGCGTAGCCTATAGCGCCAACCTCTGAGCAAACTATGCTGCAGTCTAGTCACTCCATAACAGCTGATGCTAAGTGCTAAATTTGCATTCCCTTTTTTTTCCTTTATTTTTGTTTTGCAGCATTTCAAAGAAATTTCTTAAAATTCGCTCGACAATTAGACGGAAACGCTGCTGATGTGATTCGTTTTGCAAATACATCAACATCTTTCATTCACGCCACAACTCTTTCTGCACTTTAAATGAGAACCAACTTGTCATGCTAAAGCAGGGGTGCCCACACTTTTTCAGCTTGCAAGCTACTTTTAAAATGACCAAGTCAAAATGATCTACCTACATTAAAAATGCTGAATATCTATTTATTTATATATATATATACTGAGTATACTTTATATTTACAATATATGTTGGCGTACCTTTCATAACTGCATGAACCCTTATGGCACAATACAATTCTGTACATGTTTGGTCATTACCTTACTCTGATGACTTGCACTGAATGGGATTGGCCAGAGTTGCATAGTCCGGACAGTAGCTGCTGGTAGCCCGCCTCAAGCAGACTTCAAATGATCATCAGTCATGGTGGAACGGTGTATGGACTTAATGTTCTTCATGTGGGAAAAGGCTGACTCGCATAAATAAGTAGAGCCGAATAATGCAGTCAAGAAGGTATCACATGTCCTCATGTTTGGGTACTTTTGCTCTGTGAGAAAACTGTCCATGAGCCCTGGACTTCAGCTGAATGTCAGCTTGCAGTGTCAGAATCTCATCCTCCACTCCAGACGAGTTCAGGTGAAACAGCGTTGCAATTTTTGATGCGAGTGAATCAACCTCAATATCTTCCCGAAATGTGCAGCACATAAGTGTAGCACCTGGCTCGAGTAAAGCAAAGTCTCGAAAGCGTTTGTCAAACTCTGACAGACACTGTCAATCTGTTCTGTGTAGCGCGCACTGTCAAGTTACGCGCACGCCTTCCGTTGAGTCTCCAGCTCTGACGCGAGGTTTTGGACGTTTCCCAAATCATGGCGCTGCAGCTTTAGCTTCTTTAGTAGAAATAAATTGGAAGGCTAACTAATTAGCTCGCCGGAGTTTTGCAGTAGCTCGCGCGGTTGACCGCGCATACGTGGTGACCCGTGTGTTAGAAAATCAAGTGGCAAATGCCATGCGGACATCTCATTTTTTTTGAATGGCATGCGATCTACCCGCACTACCTCCGCGATCCACGTATTGGGCACCCCTGTGCTAAAGCATCACGGTCAGCTGCAGTGAACTCAACAAATAAACCAGGAGGTGGCTCTTTTCTTAGCTCAACAATGCGTCAATCAAAGACTTTACTTGCCATAAAGGCCGGTGCGCTCCTTCTGGAACTCTCGGCTGAACTCTTTCCAGGTGCTTTGCGCTGCCATTTGGCAGACTTTACCGGTCTGTGGTCACTGGCCCCTGTAAACAATCAGTTAGGCACCGCGGCTTGAGTTTTCACCACTTAGTCTGAAAGGAGCTGACCCAGCCGCGATCAGTTAACTAAATATTGCACTGTTTATTTTGACCCTGGAGGAGTTTGTCTTTTGAAGCATATTATATATATGGTGATGTAAGTTTGTGATCCTGCTCTTGTTCAGCATATTTACAAAAATATTTTCCTTATTGCAGGATGAGATCGAAAGCAACCCCATGGTGTCGTCCCTTCTCAACAAGCTGGCAAACTACACCAACCTCACCCAGGGGGCCCAGGAGCACGAGGAGGCTGACAATGACGAGGGGCCCAAGAAGAAAGAGGTCAAGGTACAGCAGCCTCGTTTGATACAAGGGTTACATCAGAGCGGTTAACAGTTGCATAATAACACTGAACTATCATTGCATAACGGGGGGGCCTTGACCCATGAAGCCCCGCTGTTTCTTTGTTTTTATTCAAATCTTTCTGGGAGTATGCAAACTTGGTCACCTTTATTTCCCACTATAACATATAGTTATCCTGTTACTTTTGAGTGTAAAAGTATTCAATTTAGCAAGTTAAATATTGTAAGAGAGTAAGTACAACTCCAGTCAGTAAGCCTGTTTAGCTTCATTCATTGGTTTTGTGCTTGAAAGTAGAAACTGAATAATTGGGCCCTTAAAGTTACTGTGAGGAACTTGTTATGAAACCGTCTCAGTGTAATACTGAAGCCTTTTTATTATTCCTTTAGTAAAGGAGACCATCAGAGAGAAGATTGACTATTTCTACATAGTTCTTCTTAATGCTTGTCATCTGTTCTCTCGGCTCACATTTTGCGTGAAATCAGATGAAGTCATGCAGGTTCACAAGAACCTTCTTCAGCTCAGACTCCAGCGGGGCCTCTGGCTTTGCTGCCGCCTTCAAACTGCTCCCCCAGGAGCAGAGCTTCTCCTCTCTGGGAGCCAACACCAACACCACACTGCTGGAGACCCAGGTCGTATTGCTGGAGGGGAGGGAGCCACGGGAGAACCAGAACCAGGACTGAGCGGGGAAAGCTGTCAGACCCTGCTGCAGTAAAAAGAGACGTGTTTTAAAGGGACTCTGGTGCTCGTAAACACTACCACTGTTGTCCTCAGGGACTGCCGAAATTGACACAAAATGAAAGAATGAAGAATTTTACTCAGCAATAGATCCCGTATTACCACAACAGAGGCTACTTTATATGAAGCCCAGTATTTAGTTTTACTAAAAAGAACCTGATGATTCAGAGATCAGCGGGGTTCTAAGAAAAGGAGAATGAAAAGTAGCCCCAGAACTACCATGGGGCACATAGATGCTTGGGTAACCACAGCTTCGGTCCCATGCCAGTTGCTCCATCCTGTCCCCTGCGTGGAAAGAGGCCTCAGGCACCTCCCACCGGCTCGCAGGATCCGTCTTGGTCAAGACTTAAGCTGACACCATCTTCGCCCCTCTTTGTCTGGACCAGAAGGACTACTAGCACTCTACATTTGGAGAGAGATGGATAAAAAGGTGGCTGCTTGTCAATAACGAGATGATCGATTGGACGTTTTGTGTTTTTCTGACATGCTGTTGCGAGACTACAGTTTTCTCGCAAGGAACGCTTTCTTCTGTGGTGGAAGCATTGACGGATTCTCCACCAGTATTGTCGCTGGTTACTGGATGGTGTTGTGGTTTATGTAATAGTGTCACTGAGATGTCAGCGACACATCGGTTGTTCAGCGAAACGATGAAAAAGATGATTCAAACATGATTTTGTTTTTAAACCACAGCTTCTAAATTCAAAGCGTGGGAGCATGAATTTGGATCTTCATCACTATCATAACTGATTTCATTACTACCAAGTAAATACAATGTCTTCCTTTTGAACTTCCCCTTTAGATATGTCTTTATTTCCCCACCTTTAATCCTTCTTTGTCTTCTTACTCTTGTCTTATTTTTTGCTGCTGATTGTTGATAACATTGCTGATAAATACCCCTCCCCTCCCCCCCTGCTCTGCACCTTGACCCCTCCACAGAGCCCTCAGATGGGGACCTTCATGGGCGTCTACCTCCCGTGCCTCCAGAACATTCTGGGGGTCATCCTGTTTCTGCGACTCACCTGGATTGTCGGCACTGCCGGCATCTTGGAGTCCCTGGCTATCGTCTGCCTGTGCTGCTCTTGTGTGAGTACTCAACCCTCTCTTTACCCTTATTACACTTTCTAGAAACATCTTAAAAATGGAGAGGAGAGGAAGGTTTTAACATCTGAGGCTCCCTCGTTGTTCTGTTTGAGGATGGTACAAACTGAAAGGAGCTGGAGTGACCCTTGATGTGGATATTGAGTGTCCTTTATCAAGGATCTAGAGCCATTAGAGCAATGACATGCACGATTATGTAAGAGTGCGCAGCGCTTAATGTACACATCCAGGGCTTTAATGTGTTATGACTACATTAGCACACCAGAGTGAATGTGTGTCCATGAGTGTTTTTGTGACGCGGGAGGGGGCAGATAGGACCTCAACTTTTTTTCGCAGACGGGGGCAAAATGTTGGACCGACGGCAGTAATGAGAGACAGGTAGGTTGACTTAGTGGTCACTGATCCCTCCTATATTTAGCCACTGTGACTCTCCATTTCCCATACGCTCCGCGCCTCTAATGTGTAATCCCTCCATCTGCAAAGTGTCAGAAACACAGCGACATGCACACCGTGCACACATGCACACAGTGGCTATATTTGCCGACCCCACGGCAGACAATGGATTACTTCAGATTAATCAGGGAAAGTACCACGAACAGAAGTAAAACCTCGGGCACCCTCTGAGTCGAATGCCTTTCGCCTGATAGTGGAATGCTCTAATAGTATGACATGATCAATTTCACTGACAACATGGCCAAAGTGACCACGTTCCAGACTATGCTACGTCAAGAATTTAAAATCCCAAATGTATTTCCTTTGTCTTGTAACTGAAAGAAGCAGACAAAGCCATGAATTTCAACTATTTCTGTTTTAATTTAGTAGAATAATTATGTGCTGTGAATGAAAATATTACCCTGCGTCTGTAGCGCCGTGAACTCACACCAGGCTGTGTAGCTGTAAAAAGAGTTTTCCCTGAAAGAAGTGGATGTTTTCATTTGTTACAATAGCTGACGTGGGTTGGGCTGGCTGCCCTCCACTGCGGCGCTGCTGTTGCATAACAACAGAGCCAAGCTTAGTCAAACAGATTAATGTTCATTTTCTCAGCTGAGGCCGCATCTGACTTTGCACTGATGGTTCCTCATCAGCTACCTGCTTATAGGTCATGTTCTTTATGCTTTTGACCAACACCAGAAATGTCTAAAAATAGCTAAAGGGAATTGACTTTAGCGTAGCCCAGTAATGATTTACTGTGAGCACTTTCTTCTTTCATACTCCCTTATTATTCATCACTCATAATTCAGTAATTCTTCTTTTTGTCAATGTTCACACCGTTTCTGTTTTTTTGCAACCAAGAGAACTACAGATGAGGCCAGTGCAGAGGCTCAGAGAGTCAGGATGGCTCTCATGAGACCAGGTCTCACGCTAACAGAAGAGAGTACAGAAGCTTTTGTTCATTAGCTCAGTACGCAGCGCATCACGTCATCATTAGCCTGGGCTGTGTAGAGCTCAACCACATGTATACAGCGAGTCGTTTTCCAATTCACAATGAAAATAAATCACTTTACAAAGGGATATTTTTGTTGTTGTTGTAATTTTAATGTAAATAAAGTGCCACAAAAGCATCAGAATATACTAATAGAGCTTGTTTATTGAAATAAAAAGTGTCAGTGGAGGATCCCTCGCACCGCTCTCCAGAGGTCCGGGCTAAGCCCTGAATATCCTCACGTCTACAACTAGAATGCAGTTGCAGCTATGAAATGCAGTGAGACGTCTGATTCATCTGTGATTCAGGCCGAGTGTCGATCCTTGTGCCGGGTTGATTTAGTTAATAGTTCTAAGTTGAGTTAACACGTCAGTAAGAATTTCAATGAGATGAGTTTTGGGCTACATTCATTCATTCTATCAATAAACATGATTAATAAGCACGGTGAGTGTCCCTGCAGCAGCAGGTGTTTTGTGTCTTTAGGTCACTACAAGTAGCTGCTTCTCTATAGTGATAGATGGCTTTGTATTAAAGTGTTATTTGTGTCAAAGCTGCATCGCTGACATTACAGTTGTATATTTCTAATGATTGCAGTGACCTTACTCGTACTTGCTCTTTGTTGTTATATCTCCATCCTGTAATGTTAATAAGATAAGATACTGTGTTGGAGTTCAGTCAACAGGATCTTTGTCTCAATGGCGGCGTTATGTATGAGAGGCAGTCGTCTGGACGCTACGTTAGAGTCATTATTAGCTACATGTAGATGTTCACGTTGAGCTATTTAGTGAGAAATGTCGAGCAGTTTGATTGTGTCAGTTTGGCTCACTTCTTAATGTGGATCATTAAAGAAATGTGACACACCAGAAGCAAGTTCATTTAGTTTTGTTAAGTGATGGCTTGTACTGGGTAACTCTGAGCTCCATGGATCTCAATGATGTTTGCTTAAAGCAGTTGTTGGACCATGTTTGTGTCTGACTGGCCTCTGGCTGAATTTCTTCTAGAAGCCCGTAAATCTCACAGGATCTGGTAAGAAATGTGTCCACATGGGAATTGCGTGGTCCTTTTTCAACATGTCTTTCAGTACTTCTCTTTGTGTACCTGACTCGACACAAGCTCGTGTGGAGCTGCTTTAGGTTTCATGTGAAGCGGAAGTTAAACTTGTCAGCTAATTGGCTTTGCTCCAGATCGTCTGCCACTTTAAACTGGACGTCCGGCACAAGGTTTATCTCGGTCGTGTCCTTGTCCCTGCTTCCCTCCTCCTCCTCCTCCTCCTCCTCCTCTTTCCTTTGTCTTCTATTCTCTCACCTTCATGCTTTCTCCTCTCTCTCTTTCTTGCATCCTTTAAGTTTCCTCGTGTCTTTCTCTCTTTTCTCTTCTTTGTGCCTCTTATCTCGTCTGTCTGCTCTGCCCTCTCTCTCATCTGGAAGCGCTGTTAGGTAACAGGCTGATGTAAATATCCTCCGTCGCAAGGACTTTCAGGGAAAAGCTTGTATCCATTACCAATCTGAGAGATTAGAGCAAAAGCCCCTAAGAAGTATTGTAACCGGATTTATGCCAGACTAAGGACTCCAAGTCTCCTCTTTGTTTATGTGATTTATTAAAGAATTATTAGGCGGGCATGAAAAAGTGACCAAGGAGTTTTGTTTGTATTATTTTCATACTTTCTTTTGAATGTGTGATAACAGCATCACAAGCTCCCTTGTTCCAATGCATTATTGAACGTCCCGTGTGTACGGTCTTTAGATTTGACCGTTTTGTTCTGATGTCTTTGTTCTTTACTGTCCTCTGTCAACAGACCATGCTGACAGCCATATCCATGAGTGCAATCGCTACCAATGGGGTTGTGCCAGGTAAGACGCTTCGTTACTCGGACATACACAAACTTAAGAGACAAGATTTGTCTTTTTTTCTGCTTACTTGGTGTTCTAATGAGGCTGATGTGCTCACGGTGCAACTGGAGTGTTGCTATTTGACTGGTTGCTGAATAAACTTATGTTATAGGATATCTTATCACTGCTCCTTCCTCCTTTGGTTTATGGTAACTGATATACGTAGGTGTCTGAGGATTTAAGGCACAGAAGTGTTTTAAGTCCCAGGGCTTGATCAAAACCGTGACAACGATGTCCCTTGTTTAGTGCATCCGTGGATGTATTACAACACGTCTTAGTCCCTCAAAAGCTAATCCCTATAAACAAATTCTGCATTCATTGGTATCGGAAGCGTTCTGATTTTTCATTTGTAGTCTGAGTAATATTGACCAGTCACATTCGTGCAGGCCTTGGTTGCATGCAGGTAAACAGCCCACGTGGAGCGCAAAAGAGGCGGAACGCATTGGCTAAACCGCAATCTGGGAACGCATTGGCTATCGGCCGACGAAGATTTCGCTTTTTATTGGTTTGAAATTAGCTTGTAGACTGGCAACCTGGGAAAGAACCCGGTCCTACACATAGTCTCTCAACTCCAGTCTCGCATCTCAAGTTGCTAATCGGACCGTAAACAATGAGCAGCACACTGAAAAGGAAATCTTGGCCCAGATATACACCACAACCTCAGGAATATAGCCCCTTTCCCCAAGAGGCTTCTCCGTCGTCAGACGATGGGTTCAGAGATTCTTAAGAGAAGTTTCTTTTCCCTCATAAAACTCACTCCCACTATGCTCCTCTCTTTCTCCCAGCTGGAGGCTCCTACTACATGATTTCCAGATCTCTGGGCCCAGAGTTCGGTGGAGCTGTAGGTCTCTGTTTCTACCTGGGCACGACCTTCGCTGGCTCCATGTACATCCTTGGTACCATAGAGATTCTGCTGGTGAGTGAACACTCCGTTGACTACTTTGACAAAGCGGCCATCCTCTCCTATATCTCCACCACCTACGTCTTTTTTCCCCCTTCTCCATACAGACCTACATCGTGCCTAAAGCAGCCATCTTCGTGGCAGAGAAGAAGGAGGACGAGGTGAATGCCCTGCTGAATAACATGCGCGTTTACGGCACGTGCTGCCTAGCGCTGATGGCCGTGGTCGTCTTCGTCGGGGTGAAGTATGTCAACAAGCTCGCGCTGGTCTTCCTGGCCTGCGTCATTCTCTCCATCCTGGCCATCTACGCTGGAGTCATCAAGACCATCTTTGAGCCACCGGACTTCCCGTGAGTCCGAACGATAACCTGCGATGTTGCGTGGAACCATGTGACGCATAAATAGCATCAGACTAGATCATTTTAATCAGCGTGTGGTTTCAAAATGTCTCGCTCCTCCACGCAGTCTTTGCATGCTGGGGAATCGCACTCTGGAGAACCAGAACTTCGACAGCTGTCTCAAGACGAAGGTCATCGACAACTTGACGGTCACTACCAAGCTGTGGAACCTGTTCTGCGACGGGCCCGAGCTCAACGCCACCTGCAACGACTACTTTGTCCTCAACAATGTGACCGAGGTGCAGGGCATCCCCGGACTGACCAGCAAAGTCATTTCAGGTTGGAACACTGTGTTTCCTCTGGAGGTTTGGAGTAGAAGTGTGCAAATGTCCTCTAAAGCCCTTTAAACTTCCCCTCATGCACAATTAACTTGTCCAAGTTAATCAGAATTAGTTTTTGTCTCACTCAATCTCATCCTGTCATACTGGAGCAGCCAGATTTCATGAGAAAGAAGAGTGTCGATGTTTAAATACTGTCATCTCAGTATGAATCTCTGCTATTGTTTCATTAAGTACAGTGCAAACTCAGAACATTCCTCAATCTTATGTAACTGTTGACGAGGACAAACTCTGCAAAAAAAATGCATTCCTGAAATATTTCTTGTGAAGCATCTGGGTCAAACGTGTGCAGACGTCATGTGATTATTTTACTCTCTCTGCTTTCTCCATTTCTATGTATTTATTTTGTTCCTCTCTAGTCTCTCTTAAATAGCTCCTCCTTCATCATCCTCTCTCTCCAAAATATGTTTCTTCCCCTTCCGATTCTAATCTGTTTTTCATTTTTGTCTATTTAATAGTCCGGACCGCTGCTCTTACTAGAGGAACTCCCCAGCTTTGACTACCAAAGCTCACTCAGCACCGAACATTCATGTATTCTAAATCATCGGACACTGATATCAGATAAATGCTTGATCTGATGTTATCAGTTATATAGAAACAGTTAATGTGTCAGGACTGTACCGAATAGTTCAAAGCTCCATTCATAACGTTGACAGTTGCCTTTTCTATTCTTCTTTCTCTTTTTTGCATATTCATTGTGTTTGAACGCAGCATTTCTGCCCAGTAGCAGATGAAGACCAGGCTCCACTAAGATCATCAGTAGCTTCCAGCGGTGGCTTTCATTGATTATGACTCGTGTCGTCCAAACTTTACCAATAACTCCAGAGAGTTGTAACGTCCAAAAGTCAATGTTTGTTAAAGGAAAAGATAGATGTAGTCATTTCAGAAATTCACAGCATGTTTTTATCTCACGAAATATGACGACAGACAAAAAAAGAAGACCTTCGGTACAGCCCTGGTATTAGTCACATGTTTGATTCTGCTCTATTCCTCTGGTTAGGTCAGCCAGAGAGTGGAATAGTTTTTTTGGAACACACTGTGTTAAGGCTATAATGCCACAAGCATGGCCATAGTCTGCTTTTGTATCCACAACCAATTGCTTGACCGCTGCCTCTTGTTTCTTGTAGAAAACATGTGGTCAGTGTATGGCCCTCTGGGTAAGTTGGTAGATGACCCGAAGATGGCGTCAGTGGGGGGAGATGCCTCTGCCCAGGACAAGTACTTGCCCTATGTCGTCAACGATATCACCACCTTCTTCACGCTGATGGTTGGCATCTACTTTCCGTCCGTCACCGGTGAGACTGTGACACACCCACACACTCGACATAGTCGAAACTGATCAAATTTGTTTCATTTCTAAAGATGTGCTGTCGTGACCCTCCCCTCCCCACCTCCAGGTATCATGGCTGGTTCAAACCGGTCAGGTGACTTGCGGGATGCCCAGAAGTCCATCCCCATCGGGACCATTTTGGCTATCGCCACCACCTCCTTCATCTGTATCCTTTAACCTTTCTGTGAGGATAATATCAGAAAGTCTTGTCACATGGCTACAACTGTACGTTTAACAATGTTCGTCCAGCTTAATCAGCTGGCCCTTAAATTGCTTAGTGTGGAGCTTGAGAATCACAGCTTCAGTTGCCAGAAATAGCTGCCAGGTTTATAGGTTGTTGGCAGGAGAGCATTGGAAGAATCAAAGGCCTAATGCAGCAGAGCAGGTACCTCCTGTAGGATTGTGGGTAGTGTGGATAACTTTAGCTTTAGAGCAACAGGAAAGGGAAAAGACTCTGCCCACGGGTTGAATTTACTCTCCTGAACAGTGCTCTCCAGACGTCACCTGCGTGGTTCTGTTCGGTGCCTGCATTGAGGGAGTTCTGCTTCGAGACAAGTAAGAGAATAAGTATAAAGCGGTACACGTTCCATCACTTCGGTTTTGTTCCCCCTCTTCTCTTTTAGTATCTTGAGGGCAGATGGATACGATTATGAAGTCGCTAAGTGCCCTCATCATTAGAGGCTCAGATGTTATGTTTTCAGATATTTTGTGATGTGAAAGGACTACTGTACCATCGCAAACACGTCTTTGTCCCGAGTCCTGAGAAGTACTGTTGAACCTTTGAAGTAATTTGACGCTGTTCATAGAGCTCCATTGTTGTCTGTTAAACACTCATCAATGAGCCACACTGTTGCATTGGCTGACATCGTCCTTCTTCACCATGAACACACGGCTGTGGTTTATTTTCAATTCATTATCGGTGCGGATTACATTGCAACCCGTTTAGCAGCTACACTATACTGGACCAGGTTCAACACTTGTCCCCATTAGTCACACAGACACAAAAACATGTGAATACAGGCTCCGAGTACCCAAGTCACTCTTTAATCGCTCATTAACCATCCGGCTGCCAGAGGCTGAAAGTAGTCCCCAACAAATGCACCATTTCCTCTTCTTTGATTATTGTTTGCTTAGGATAGTAGTTCCAAGGTGGGTTTTATTCAGCCTCTTTTAAACATGAAAGTATTTATTTACAGATTTACGTCATTGGGGTGAAGAGGTTTTGTGCTGAGAACCTCAGACTGGCTGGGTCCCTTGTAAAGTTTTGACAGATTGGCTAAAGCATGGCTGCTTTTGGTCTTCTTAAGGGATTTGATGACAAAAATAAAGAATAACACCAGCTTTATCCGTTGAAGACAGAAAACATGCAAAACACACGTTTCATAGTTCATGACACAGAAGGTCTTTTTGTGGCTATTTGAAAATATATATATTTTTCGCAAAGTATTTTTTTGTCTAATTAACTCGTCTTGATCCGTCATGAGTCAATCAGTCTGTTTCATTTTTCTTTATATACAGCATGGTCCACATGTTTTAACACAAGGCATTCATTGATTCCATGTGTGTAAAACATTACATCTTTAGTGATGTACAACATGCTCTTATGGATGCACAGATGCACCCACAATACCTGCTACTAAGATTTAACGATTTAGTTATTGAAATGAACTATTTGAAGTGCTGGTAACATACTTAATGTACATGATCTATGGCTGAATACAGACATCCATTAGTGTAAATGATTGTTTTTGCATTGCAGATTTGGTGACGCAGTGAAGGGGAACCTCGTGATAGGCACGCTATCATGGCCCTCTCCCTGGGTTATTGTGATTGGCTCGTTCTTTTCCTGCTGCGGGGCGGGGCTGCAAAGTTTGACCGGTGCCCCCCGCCTGCTGCAGGCTATCGCACGAGATGGCATCGTACCGTTCCTGCAGGTCAGACGCACACGGTCAACACAAATACAGTCCACGCCGTCCTCAGCCTCATGTGCTTTTATGCTTTAACGTCATACGTGACTGTGTGTGCTTTTAGGTGTTCGGTCATGGGAAAGCTAACGGAGAACCCACCTGGGCTCTGCTGTTGACCGCTGGGATCTGTGAGATCGGAATCCTCATCGCCTCCCTGGACGCCGTGGCTCCAATCCTCTCCATGTCAGTATCTGTTTGCATAGTCACATTACATCCTCTCTTTCCATAAAACCAGATCAGCAGAGAAAAGTCCATGATCCCTCAAGTATTTGACTTACAGTGGCTCATAAAGTGGAGGTTTAGATGATGAGTGAATGTCTTCCTCCCACAGGTTCTTCCTCATGTGCTACTTGTTTGTCAACCTGGCCTGTGCACTTCAGACGCTGCTGCGGACGCCCAACTGGAGACCACGCTTCAAATACTACCACTGGTGGGTGATGAGTCACTCAGTCTTACAAGTATATTGGTCACTATCTACAGTGAAAGAAGAGGATATTGTTATGAAATTATTATTCAAACTTTTAATTATTATCAAAGTTATAATTTATTAAAAGTCACTGAGGTTCACCTGAGGCTTTTAACACTGCATGTTTAACAATCTGTCAGGCTTTTTTTAAGGTATAATATATAACTTTTCAGCATTATAATCTAAAAACAACGACACCTATGCTATTTATTTTTATGAATTATGACCTTTAATTATCCCAAATGTTTCCAACAAGTTTCCAACCCAGAGAAATCTGTCATTTTAATAAAGGTAACCTTTTGTTTAATGTGGTCACCTATTAAAGTCGTAGCCTCTTTGCTCATGAGTCACCTCAGCGTTGTCTGCCAGAAGTTATAAATTGAACGTTTTAGATCTTGGTCTTTTGTAACTGTATATTTTAACCAGATGAAGGATTAGACTAATCAGATTTATGAATCTGAAGTTATCAGAGAAACAAGCTGAGCCAGCGTTAGCTCCAGCTCTCCTTGCAGGCCCTCCAGGACGTCCTTTGTCTGCCTAACAGCGTTGGAGAACCACCCATTTAAAATGTGAAACTGCTTCATTTTTGTGTTTTTATCAGTGCTAATCTCCGTGTGCCTTTGTTTCTGGAGAGGAGGAGACCTCTGCTGTAAAAACCTCCTAAATGATAAACACTGAAGGAAACCTAACCAGTAGAAAGTGACTACAACCTCGTGGCAGGAAATAGTATAATGTGTGTTTAACCTGTCAAGGACCTGCTGCTGAGATGAGTCTTTCCTCATGAAGTTTGTTCAGTGGGGTTTGTGTGATGATGGCCTGAAGTGAGTTCAGTTCAGCAATACAGACAACCCTAGCTGTCCGCTCTGTAAATGTAGTTACTGGAGTTGTAAAGTGTGTGTTTCCTCCTGCAGGGCTCTGTCCTTCCTGGGAATGAGCTTGTGTCTTGCTCTCATGTTCATCTGCTCCTGGTATTATGCTATTGTGGCCATGGCCATCGCTACCATCATCTACAAATACATTGAATACAGAGGGTAAGAATGACTGTGGATGCAATGGTTTTTCATAGGTGTACTGTAAAAAGGAAAATATGACATAAGTAAGGCTGGGGAATTGTGCTTGCAGAAAACAAACTAAATCAAAGTATGTGTAAAACTGATACATTATATAGAGAATATAAAATGCTTCAAGATACATGTATGTGATCAGACATCTTGGTATTTACTGCTATACCTACGAAATACTGCTTTAAATGCAGGATTTACCCGAGCTACTGAGGAGGGGAAAAACAGATTCCCACATTTAGGATCATCCACCTCATTATAAAATGAGCCACATGTTCTATAGGTGTCCTCAGCTCGTGAGAACAGTGTGATCCTCCGGAATAAGAGAGACATTTAAAAAAGGCCTCTTGGATGACACCAAATGCAGCTGCTGAGCTCAACACAAAGGTGCTTGATGTACGTTGAAACAGGAAATGTTCTCACAGAGCCAAAGGAACTGGACTAAACTAGCAAAACACACAAGACACCATTTAAACCAGCAGGTGTGAAAACAGTGTGATACTGTTGAAATACATCCACCTACTTTGGTTTTTAACAATCTGTGTGTGTTGTCATTTAGTTGCTTCCTGTGCATGTCAGTAATTCATGGTGAATCATTTGTTGGCTGTAGGGCAGAGAAGGAGTGGGGAGACGGCATCCGTGGCCTGTCGCTCAATGCAGCCCGCTACGCCCTCATCCGCCTCGAAGAGGCTCCACCGCACACTAAGAACTGGAGGTACAGAGTGTGTGTGTGTGTGTGTGTGTGTGTGTCTTTATGCTTGCTACATAGTGAGGACCGAATCAAGTTTTTAACCAACCGAGTGAAGGCATTTTTGGAAAGTGAGTTGGCCTGTTTGAAGATTAAGACTTTGTATTTCGGTTTAGGTTAGGGTCATGGTGATCTCTACACACGGATATCTGCATATGAATGCAGAATCTGAAGGTAACGGGAGAAGATTTTGGTATCGGAAGCATTCTGGTTTCCGTTTGCAGCCCCAGGAGACAAATTTGGTTTGAGCATGCGCTGGTTGAATGCAGTCCGTGTGGAGAGCAAACGTGGCAGAACGCATTGGCCGAATTGCAAACTGGGAACTCGCCAGCTAATGGCTGACAATGATTTAGCTTTTCATTGGTTTAAAATGGTTCGTGAACTACCTACCGGTCGTACACGCCATCTCTCAACTCAAACTCCATGATGGCATCTCAAATGCTTAATCAGACTGCAAACAATAACCGGTGCATGGAGGAAGAAGTCTTGACCTGGGTATCTACTGGCTACACCGTTACCCCAGAACTATTGTTCGTTGTCCCCAGAGGCTACATCATCATTAGATCAATAGCCGATTGGCTCTGAGATTGTTGTTAGGGTAAGGGCTGGGGTCACACATTTGTTGTGATGGTTAAACCAAGGGCCCTGGGAATGCATTATGTCAACGAGGGTCCTCACAAAGACAGGAGTACAGGGACGTGGGTGGGTGGGTGTGTGGGTGTGTGGGTGTTACAGTAGACACAGTGCCACCTGTCACCGTTGCTGTGGACAAAAGAGAGACAGGAATAGACACAGAGGGTGAATTTGAGTAATCTCTTGGTCTTAATCTGACAGAGGTTGATGAGTCTTTATACTGTACTGAGGACCACACTGGCTGAGCTGACCTGTCCAAAACACCAAACCAGTTTCATCTACTTTCTTGCCACTCTCTGTGGATTGATGTGATGTTTCCAATGATACAGTTGGTGCTCATTGGAAATAACAGTTGCCCCTCTTGTGCCAAAGGTCTCCCTGCATAATCAGCAATAAAATGCTTTTCACAGCGGTGTTTACAAAGCAGTTGTATTGAACTGTGACACATAAATCTGACTTGCCTTTTCCCTCTCTCTCTGTCACTCTCTCTCTCCCTCTCTCTCTCTCTCTGTCTCTGTCTCTGTCTCTCTCTCTCTC